TTGTACATACTCCATTCGAATCTGGCTTGGTAGATTTGATAAAATCCAACGTTTTGGAGTTATCGACAGTAAAAGTTCGGATTCATTCGCGTCGTTGGTGGCAGCCATTACTGGCATTGTTTGCATACATTCGCTGCAGAAAGCTAAGCGCGGAAGAATGTAGTTAACGGCCTTGTTTACTGATCTTACTTATCTCAGTTACTGCGCAAGAGAACTATATTGCGTGCGCAGTAATCAAGAGAAGTTAATATTCTATTCATAGCTATTCATACCAAGGCAGCCATTACTGGCGTTGTTTGTATACATTCGCTGCGGAACAGCTTTGATTGGAATATTCAATTGTCTTGATTTTTGCGCTGACAATATAGTCCTCTTGCGTAGTAACTGAGACAAGTTGAGACGAGTAAGATCAGTAAAAAGAAGGCCGTTAACTACATTCTTCTGCGCTTAGCTTTCCGCAGCGAATGTATGCAAACAACGCCAGTAATGGCTGCCACCAACGACGCGAATGAATCCGAACTTTTACTGTCGATAACTCCAAAACGGTGGATTTTATCAAATTTATCAAGCCAAATTCAAATGGAATATGTACAATTACACCTACATGTTTAAATTGGGTAGGCGTGTGTTGGGTGTTAATAATAAGTATCAGTATAGAGTTACTTTCATAGATGTCAACTCAGGGAAAGGTGGGGGTGTCTAAATTTGAAACGGAAGATGTATTAACCCTAGTCTGGCATGCGTGTCTATGGAGATTTTTTATTTTATTTTTTTTATGAAAGGGATTTGTGCATATAAAAAAAACTGCCGTAACGTTTGTTTTTTGACGTCTTCATAAAGGGTTATCTTTTTTGTAGGGTATTTAAACTATTTATTTGGGCTATGGATTATGAAAGTTATTATATTGTATGCTTGTTCTTAGCTAATTATTCAAACCATGAATCTGATGATTGGCCTATGGATTAATCAAGTTATTATATTGTATGCTTGTTTTTAGCTAATTATTCAATCCATGAATTTGATGATGTCGACAAAAAAACCGTTAACTCATGTCTATTGTTTAATAGATTATTATTATTTAGAAGCTTAATAATGTGCAATTTCTCATGGAGGCACAAAGGGCATGGGTCATCCCAAGTTTTACATGTTTTTCATATATATATATATATATATATATATGCATGTTTCATTAAAAACGACAGACAAGGTACTACGGTTAAGCTTTTTATTTAATTTTTCTTGTGTTCTGACAAGAGCTTTCTTTTCTGGGCAAAGAGTGTGGAAAAACTGTCCAAATATTTTATAGTTCCGAGCGCTTTCGGCTATACCTTTAGTCATTATCAAGGATGATTCGATTTTTCAGCTTAATTGAGTGTGTGCATTATGTGTATGTCTTAGTGTGTGGTAGGGATGTTTTTAATTTCCGAATACGGTGAGCACATTGTGGCCTTGTTCGTAGTTAATATTGTTTTGAGTTGATAAAACATTTGGACACTTTACTTTTCTTTTGTTTTCATGCCTTAGTAATGTTTCTGGTTATAATTCTTTCACATCCAGTAACATCGCCCCGCTCCGTGTATTAATGGCTGTGCTGTCTTACTAGGTGGGGGTGAGCTTGAATTTAAAATGGTCTGATGGCTGCTAGGTGAATGAAATTTAAGTTTTCACCGAAAGGTGAGGAAAAAAATATATTAGTCTTAAAAAAAAATCTTACACTAATGAAAAGTCCATATAAAAAAGAGAAATCAAGAAGTAAAAGCAGTCAATTGTTGAAAACCGACAATTTGCAGATGATTTTTAAAAAAATTTTCAATCATCTCCAGATGCACAGCAAATGCACCAGGCCAGATATATCAACAATATAAAAACGATATATCTCAGTGCATGAATTAGGGAAGATCAGGAGCGTAACCGATAAATATATAAAATCATATTTTGCACTTTATGTCATGGAATAGATCTTAGTTTATGGAGAACGTGTTTTTTTTTTTTTTTTCGTTTTAATATTTTACTTTCTGCCTTCAAATTCTTCTCTTGTTTTTTCTTCCTTCTTCTTCTATTTTTTTCTTCTTTTTCCTGTGAAACTTTTGATTCCCAGACAATCAATCCCAATTCTATTGTTACTACCCTCAACTATCGACACACAAAAATGAAATTCCCTTCGCAGAGGCTGGAGACCCGGATATGTTTTGTTACGCTTCTTAATAGATATTTACGACTGGGTTTCTTGGCACAATTGTTCAAAGGTCAAAGGTCGTGAAGTTTCAAGGTGAACAATACCAGCTGCCGGGTTTTGCCAAATTGATGAAACCAAAAAGTAGGATTTGAGACACAAGGAGGCCATTTCCGGTCAGTGTCGGGTAGCTCATGATTAGTTGATTACAATAGGACAGTGAGGATGGCAATTTTGTGGATTTTATCCGAATTTTATATATATATATATATATATATATATATATATATATATATATATGTTTCATTAAAAACGACAGACAAGGTACTACGGTTAAGCTTTTTATTTAATTTTTCTTTTTCTTGTCTAGTATGTTTGGTAAGTTTACTAACAGAAAACACAAATATATTAACTGCATCCACCTGTAAAAAAAAGATTAAAAATAATGGAAGCTTTAATAATAATAAAAAGAAAAAGCCAACTCTTAACTATGAACAAGGCCACAATGTGCTAACCGTGTTCGGAAATTAAAACATCCCTACTACACACTATGACATACACATAATGCACACACTCAATTAAGCTGAAAAATCGAATCATCCTTGATAATGGCTAAAGGTATAGCCGAAAGCGCTCGGAACTATAAAACATTTGGACAGTTTTTACACACTCTTTGTCCCCAAAAGAAAGCTCTTGTTCGAACACAAGAAAAATTAAATAAAAAGCTTAACCGTAGTACCTTGTCTGTCGTTTTTAATGAAACATGCATAAAGGAAGGATTGCTGCCTAAATATACAATATATATCCAGTAGCGGCCATAATATAAGGAACGGAAACAACAAAGACATAAATATGCGTATTACTTAAAAAGTAATGCATGATTAGCAATGAAATTTTTACCGAATAAAGATTAGGATGTAATGCATAAATATTATACAAAGTTATAAAAATTTACATAATAGTTTTTTTTTTAAATAAAGATTAAATGGAACAAAGGAAATAAGCTACTGGACAAAAGTTAAGGAACGATCTTGTTAATACTTGATTGTGAACAAAATATCAACAAAATTTAATATTTGGTAAACATTCCCTTATTTTCAATGACTTCTCTGCATCGTCGACCACATGATCTGATTAATTTCTTGCAAAAATCAGCAGTAATTCCCTCCCATTCGTCTTTCAATAACTCCCATAGGTGATCCTGGTTTTTCGGGTTTCTTTTCTGAGCCCTTTCTCCAATTATCTTCCAACCATTTTCCATTGGATTCAGGTCGGGGCTCTGGGCTGGCCACTTCATTAGGGCGATTCCTTCTTCTTCAAATAAAGCCATAACCTTCTGAGCCTTGTAGCAAGGTGCATTGTTCTGCATGAAAATAGGAGATTCATAAAGATTAAAGGTGTAATCTTGGTACCACATGCTGCTGTCCTAGCAGACGACGGCTAAAAAAATGACGAAGTTGACAAAATATTAATTTAATACTTTGCCACATAAATAAAATAAACGTGGTACAAAAAGGTGACTTGTTTATCCAACATTATGAACGCACTCGGAGCAATTCTGAAGGCCCTTGAAAATCCGAGGGATAATAGAAAATATCCAGACGATAAAATTATATCCAAATCCTTTTAAATTGACGCCTACTCTTTTTTCCCCATATTTTGGTAGTATTTTTTTTAAATTTCATATTTTCTTGATTCCAGATGAAAACAAGGACATTTTCCAATATATTTCAGTGAAATATACACTTTCCAAAATTCTAGTTTTTAACTATACTTTAGATGTATGGCAAAAAATGGTTTTCAACTTAAACTGCTGTCGTAGAATGCAAAAAGAATATGAACTGTGTCAAGCAATCAGCTTGATGAGCCCTATAACTAAGGATGTACATATATATATATATATATATATATATATATATATATATATATATATATATATATATGGATGTGTGTATATATATATATATATGTGTATGTTTAGGTTTCCGTTTGTATGTGTTTTTATATATATGTGTGTGTTTATATGTGTATGTGTGTATATATATGTATGTTTGTATGTTTCAGTTTATATATGTATATATATATATGTATATGTGTATACATGTGTATTTATATGTATGTATATATATTTATATTTGGTTTGTTTACTATTTTATGTTGTTGTGTGGCTTCATATATTTATGCTTGTTTCTGGATGTGTATATATAAGGATTAGGATAGTAAAGAATAAATCTAGGTAGCAGAAGTAGACTGGATATAGAGAAAGAACATGTTGACTTTATTCCAAACACTTGAACAAGAAATACAATTTTCCTGACCAGAATGCTCTCAGAGCGAACAACAGAAGTGCAGAAAGATCTATAATTATGTTTTATGGATTGCAAAAAGGCATTCGATAAAAGCAAAATCAATAATTCCTTGAAATTTTAGGAAAGTTGGATTTACATAGAAAACGTATTTTAATAGTTTTTAACCTCTCTTAAGAATTCCTACGGATAAGAAATGAACACAAAAAATAGAAAAACAAGGATGTGTTTTCTAACCGGATTTGCTTAACTAACAAGAAAACTATAAAAGACTATCAGGATTTATTGCACATAGTTATATTTTTTATTAAAACGACACATGGGATGGTTTGGAAAACTTTGAAAAAAGTTTGGTTAACTTTTAACAATTTGGGAATCAAATAAAATAAGCTTTATGGCCACATTAACGAAGTTAAGCAACGTCGAGCCTGTTTAGTACGTAGATGGGTTACCGCTTGGGAATATGAGGTACTTTGAGTTTGGATGTTTGGGTTGCATGAAATGCACCCGGACAAATCATGTTGAAATACTGGTTCAAGTACGATCACCGAAGTTAAGCAACGTTGAGCCTGGTCAGTATCTAGACGGGTGACCACTTGGGAATACCAGGTGTCGTAACCTTGAATGTGCAGGGGCGGGGGGGGTCTATAAATGGCTTATGGCCACGTCACGTTGAAATATCGGTTCCCGTATGATCACCGAAGTTAAGCAATGTTGGACCTGGTCAGTATCTAGATGGGTGACCGCTTAAGAATACCAGGTGTTGTAACTTTGAATGTGAGGGGCGGGGGGGGTCTATAAATGGCTTATGGCCACGTCACGTTGAAATATCGGTTCCCGTACGATCACCGAAGTTAAGCAATGTTGGACCTGGTCAGTATCTAGATGGGTGACCACTTGGGAATACCAGGTGTTGTAACCTTGAATGTGAGGGGCAGGGGGTCTATAAATGGCTTATGGCCACGTCACGTTGAAATATCGGTTCCCGTACGATCACCGAAGTTAAGCAATGTTGGACCTGGTCAGTATCTAGACGAGTGACTACTTGGGAAGACCAGGTGTTGTAAATTTTTGAATGTGAGGGGGGTCTATAAATGGCTTATGGCCACGTCACGTTGAAATATCGGTTCCCGTACGATCACCGAAGTTAAGCAATGTTGGACCTGGTCAGTATCTAGATGGGTGATTACTTGGGAATACCAGGTGTTGTAACCTTGAATGTGAGGGGCAGGGGGTCTATAAATGGCTTATGGCCACGTCACATTGAAATATCGGTTCCCGTACGATCACCGAAGTTAAGCAATGTTGGACCTGGTCAGCATTTAGACGAGTGACCACTTGGGAATACCAGGTGTTGTAACCTTGAATGTGAGGGGCGGGGGGTCTATAAATGGCTTATGGCCACGTCACGTTGAAATATCGGTTCCCGTACGATCACCGAAGTTAAGCAATGTTGAACCTGGTCAGTATCTAGACGAGTGACTACTTGGGAATACCAGGTGTTGTAACCTTGAATGTGCGGGGCGGGGGAGGGTCTATAAATGGCTTATGGCCACGTCACGTTGAAATATCGGTTCCCGTACGATCACCGAAGTTAAGCAATGTTGAACCTGCTCAGTATCTAGACGGGTGACCGCTTGGGAATACCAGGTTCTGTAACCTTGGATGTGCAGGTGGTATAAATGGCTTACGGCCATATCACGTTGAAACATCGGTTCCCGTATGATCACCGAAGTTAAGCAACGTCGAACCTGGTCAGAGAGGTGACAACTTGGAAATAGCAGGTGCTGTAACCTTGGATGTGCAGGTGGTATAAAGTGCTTCCTGCCAAAAACGTTGAAACACCGGATCACCGAAATTAAGCAATATTCAGTCCGTAGATGAGTGATTGCTTGGGGATACCAGATGCTATAGTCTTGGATGTGCGGGTGGTGTCATGGACAATGTGTCGGAATTGTTAATCGGAGGGTCGGGTTTCAATTTCAGTTAGGTTCGTTATATTCATTTACGTCCAAATAATCTTGGGAAAGGTATGAATCCACATCTTCTGACCCCCCAGCTATGGGTAAATTAGTAAGATTTGTATTACTAAATCTTTATTATTGTCCCCCAAATTCTTACAATCTAAAAATATTTTTTCTGGCTTTAAATAACCTGAAAAGGAGTGATAAACCGTAAACACCTTATAGAATAACTGCCATTTTCCACTATTAGTTGTGTTATTTCTGTTCTGGAATGCCATAGCCTTCGTAAAAAATGGACAAAATTTGTCTAAATCAGTGTAAATGTTACAAAAAGTATATGTTTATTTGAAGGTTAGGTTCATATCTTAGTGTGAAATGAAAGACAACTTCAGAAATACGAAAGAATCAACACAATAATTGTCAAAATTCGAACATTGTTAAAAAAAAATTGTTAGTCATGGCAATAACATTTGTTTGTTTATTTCTCGTGAATGCTAAGTCGATGTTTTCCATTTTAAAGTTCCAGCTGTTGTCAGACATCATTCTTTTGTTCCATCTTCTTAGAGGCCGTTCTTCCATAACTTTAATGTCCTCATAGAATATTTCAACTTGCACATCACTATAATCGCCCAAATTAAATTCTATCACTGACAAACTCAAGTTTCTAACACAAATGTTTAATAAAGACTATGTAAAGTGATTATATCCAAGGACTTTATAAGTAACTCCAAAAAATTTCTAAAAAAACCCATAGTATGATGAAAAAGATCCCAAACTTAATACAAACAATGTTTTATTGTCAAAATATTTATGTTATTATTATGAGAAAACATCCAAGTATTTTCTGATGATTTTATTAAATTTTTTCATTCTTTCTAGCAGATTGGAAATCTTGATTAAAATTTTATTTTTCCTACGTCAGCGGCTGAGCGAAAGATTACTATTAGAATTTTAGCGTCCATTTTTTGCGATAAAAACACGTCGTTTTGAAAATTACACATAGTTGTCAGATTTAAATTAAATTTTCTGAACTTATTCACAAATGAATAATTTACTTTTTTTTAAATATTGCTTTTAGAAAATCTTGGTAAAAATATTTCTTCGTGCATCAGTTACCCCCCCCCACTTACCTAATTTTTTTAATGAAATTTCGAGTAATTCAAATTTCAGCCTCTCCATATTTACAGAGCTGTTCGATAAAAGTGACTCACCTGGTTTTTTTTTTACTAAATGTTCTCTTCTCCGATGAAACGAAAGGATAAGCGATCTAACATCCGAAGAAGAAGCTTTGAAAGCTCTTTGAATTTAGCAGTAAGTACTGTCAAGCATCCGTTCAGTATAATGTTCTGGGGATGCTTTTTTTTTTTCATGGAACTGGTTTCTTAAAACCTATTGCAAAGACCCTCAGGAGCGAGCAGTACAAGAGAATTTTAGAGTCTTGTCTGCTCCCTTCTGCTGAAAGGGTGCAAATCGACCCCACCAAGCTCATTTTTATGCAGGATAATGCTCCCTGTCACAAATCAAAATTGATGAAGAAATACTTTTATGAGAAGCAGGTGAGTGTTATGACATGGCCGCCCCAATCTCCTGACCTCAACCCCATAGAAAACTTATAGAGCATTATAAAGTACAGGTTCTCGAGAAAGCAGTTGAGCAACAAAGAGGATTTGATTGTGAATTTCATATCCGAATGGAATTCAATGCTTGGAGATGAGATTTGCCAGAACCTAATCAAGTCAATGCCAAAAAGGGTTGAAAAGGTTATTCAAAATAAAGGAGGACCCATAGATTATTAAATATTTCGAACTATATTACCTATTATAAATAAATTATACCTCTATTATTCTTTATTTAAAGCTGTTCGGTTATGTTTCTATTGATTCCTAGTTGCAGGAAATAAGTGACTCACTTTTTTTTGCATAGAGTTTTTCCCTAAATCTCATTTATATCCAAAATTATAATTATCAATAGAATACCTTAGGGTAAGTAAACTTTTTTAGTAGGTGGTCAGGAAGGGGTCTTTATATTAGTAAGATTAAAAATTAGTTTGACCACAAAAACAATAGGTGAAAAATTTTAAATTAAAAAATTTCAGGTGAGTCACTTTTATCGAACAGCACTGTATATTAGTTAAAATCAGGACTCTTTGGAGAATTTAAATCATTATTTTGTTTTTATCAAAGAGAAATGCCATTTACCGTAAATCTACTCTGAATTGTAAAAACCATAATGCAATAAAACTATGACATTATTTAATTAGAAAAGCTTTTAATTGTTTTTATAAATAAGTTATATTAAGGATTAGAAAATTTTATTAAGTTTTAAATTTGCTAATATTCTCTATTAATTTCAGCCTTTTAGATGATATTATTATTAACTGAAAACTATATTTACTAATCATAAATACAAAAGATAAATACAAATCATCAAATATTTTAAAAATAATTTTGAATTTTTTTATTAGTGTATAAACGTGCCGATTTTCGCAAGTACGGATGACCATACGCGATATTATCAGAAAATAAGAGCGACAACTATAGTAAATTTAAAGTCGAAATTTCGAAAATTCAATAAAACATTAGATTACGAAGAATATTTTCCTAGTTTTTTCAGATACTGAGTATTTCAAAATTATATATAAAAAAAAGGTGTCCACGTCATTATGGTCATGTTTTACAGATAAATTCTCCGTAGAACAACATTAGACCTGTTATCAGGCTGTCAACACACCAAAACAGCTACTGTCTTGTTAATAAATGCATTTCTGCGATATTTTCAACTTAAAGTAAATAATATTTGTTTCAAATTAGATTAATTAAACTTAAAATACTCTAATATTCCTCAAATAAAATTTCAGAAAAGTATATTTTATTTTTGGAAGATTTTTAATAAAGAGAATTACATTGCAATGAAAGATGACTAAAAAAGGGCGCTAATCAGCTATTTTATATATTAAGAAAAAAGAAATTCTTTCCAGTCAATTTAAATTAGTATTTCAAATAGATTGGAAATATTAAATTTAATCTATCAGCTTGAAATTGAAACGCAGATTCAAGAAAGATTTTATATTTTTAAAAATTCTTTTTAAACCTTAGGTAACACATTTTGTTTTGAGGTCCCTATAAATGTTATAATGTTACTATTCATCGCTTACAATAATACAGTCATAGTGTCCCTATCATCATGCATTATATCAAACGACTTTATAATGTTTCCATTAAATAACCCATAGAGGTGTTGATATGCCGCTAAACAAAATCAACCAACCAAAATCCAAATATTTAGATTTCGGCATTAAATAACCCATAGAGGTGTTGATATGCCGCTAAACAAAATCAACCAACCCAAATCCAAATATTTAGATTTCGGCATTAAATAACCCATAGAGGTGTTGATATGCCTTTAAACAAAATCAACGAACTAAAATCCAAATATTTACATTTTGGCATTGAATAACCCATAGAGATGTTGATATGCCACTAAACAAAATCAACCAAACCAAAATCCAAATATTTAGATTTCGGCATTAAATAACCCATAGAGGTGTTGATATGTCGCTAAACAAAAGCAAGCAATCAACAAACAACAGTATTAACTGTGTAGTGTATGATGACCAAATTAGATCCGCCGATGGCTCTGACCAACCCAACTTATTTTTTTTTTCTTAAATAATTTTGGGATAAGCTGTCCCGTAGGAGATTACATATTACATAGAATCTCCACACTCTTTTCTTTGGTTCTGAAGATATCCTATCTTTTAATACTTTGCTTAGATTCTGAAAGGGATCTTTTGCTATTCCTACGCATGTTCGGTTTTCTATATCATATTTTGCTGGGTTCTGTTACTGCCCAGATAGTTAAATTTCTGCACCTCTTTGATTCTAACGTCCCACGCTGTCTCTTCTGCTGACAATTATACATTCTGTCTTTTTACAGTTAATAAATAGTCCTATCTTTTTACATAACTGTAGATTTATGGATGAGTTGCCTGTGTAACTGTCAAATTAATTTAAGTAGACTGCATCAAACGCTATTACGCGAGAAATTTAAAAACGTTGATCACGTGATGGGCGGGAAAATCGAATGAAACTCTTTAACAAATGTTGAATTGTTAAAAATTATTAATTAATCTTACCAAATCCTGTTTTATTTCTAACTTGCAATCAGCTTCAAGAAGAAGTTGAAATGATTGGACAGTAATATTTTTTCTCTTTTCTGATTGGTTAGAAAATGTGCATTTGGTTTCCGATTGGTTAGAAAAGATAATGGATGATTTCTTGTTAACTCGGATTCTTTTACGCAAAGGATGTATACCCTACAAATCCCCCCTCTTCCTCCTCCTCCTCCTCTCTCTCTCTCTATGTCTCTCTTTTTATCTCTCTCCCTCTCCCTCCACGTGCCATGTCTCTCTCTCTTGGCACCATATCTCATCTCTCTCACTCTGCCAGTGGCATGTCCGTACCATCTCTCTCTCTCTCTCCGTTCTTACCATCTCTCTCTCTCCCTCTCTCAATCTCTCCATATCAATCTCTGCAAAATGTGGACATTCCTAGTTAATTACAAATCTCTCTCTTTGTATCAAGCCTCCCTTGTCTCCCCTTACCAAATGTGTCTCTCTCTTTCCGTGTCATGTCTCTCTCTCTCTCCGTACCATCTGTCTCCCTCACACACACTTTCCGTGACATCTCTCTCTCTCTCTCTCTCTCTCTCTCTCTCTGTCCGTGACATGTCTCTCTCTTTTCGTATTACATAGACAGCAATAGTCTCCACCGTATTCATGAGGATTGGGACATACCCATTAGTGTTCATATTTCAAATAAAGATTCATATTTAATATTTTTTTTTGATATTTTCAAAATCAGGTATGATATACGCATGATTAGTAGTGGTGTAACTTTAATTAATGGTTAGTGTTCAAGGGTTAAGTAAGGAAATCTGTCGTATTAATAAATAAAAAAAATCAATCTCTTTTTAGAAACTGTATGGTCAGTAATACAAAGCTTCCAACTGGTGGGAACAACGATCGAAGTCGATTGGTATAAAGATGGCAGATTTGAGCAGACCTTCGAAGCGTCGTGGTTAGCGGCATAACCTTAACTTTTATTCTTCTTCCGACATAACACCAAGATCATGGGAAAAGTAACGAGAAACGAAGACGTTATTCTTTGGGGTCGAGGTGCTATGGTTTTTTTTTTTTGGAGTTTTTTTTTTTTCGTAATTGTCCTTAATGTTATCGTTGATGTCGTTGTTATTATTTTATATCAAGAGGTAGTTTTTTTTCTCTTTGAGTATCGCTAAAGGGGACGGCAGGGCCTTTTTTGCCAATCTTAATGATCGCACTTAGTTTACGACTAGAATTACTATTATTATTGTTTTCATTGTTATGAAAGATGGACACTGGCTTTCTCACAGGGACAGGCAACAGCGAGGGCCGCTAAATGTTCCCAGGAGAATGGTAATTGTGAAAGGTAAGTAGTTGACCATTGCCATATTATATGTGTTTAAAAAGAGGACTGAAAAGAAAGGGGAAAAAATATATATATATATAAGTACAGGAAAAGGAGAAAGGGGTGAAAAAATAAATAAATAAAAAACTATGAAAGAAAAAGAAAAAAATAGAAAGAAAGAAAGAAAGAAAGACATGAAAGTAAAAGAAGAAAAAAATTTAAAGAAAGAGATGAACATCGAAAAATAAATTAAATCTGTAAAAAAAGGTAAAAAAAAAGAAAATCTGAAAATAAAGAAAGAAGAGACAAAAGAAATATTAGAACAAAAGAAAGAAGGAAGGAAGGAAGGAAGATTTTCTTTTCGAGAAAGAAAGAAAACAGCAAGAATGTCATGAAAACTATCAAAAAGAAAGAAAAAGAAAACTGAAATGAACAAAATGAAAGAAAGAAAAAAAAAGAGAAAAGGAAGAATGTCATTTTGAGAAAGAAAGAAATAGGTTCAAGAAAGAGAAAAAAGAAACGAAAACTAAAAAAGGGTAAGAAAAATGAAAAAGAAAATGAAGAAAAGAGTAAAAAGAAATCAAAGCGAAAAGAAAGAAAGAAATGTAACTTTATCAGGAAATGGCGAAAATAGAAAGAAAGAAAGAAAGAAAGAAAGAAAGAAAGAAATAAAGAAAGAAATGTAACCTTATCAGGAAATGGTGAAAATAGACAGAAAAAAAGAAAGAAAGAAAGAAAGAAAGAAATGTAACCTTATCAGGAAATGGTGAAAATAGACAGAAAGAAAGAAAGAAAGAAAGAAAGAAAGAAAGAAAGAAAGAAAGAAAGAAATGTAACCTTATCAGGAAATGGTGAAAATAGACAGAAAGAAAGAAAGAAAGAAAGAAAGAAATGTAACCTTATCAGGAAATGGTGAAAATAGACAGAAAGAAAGAAAGAAAGAAAGAAAGAAAGAAAGAAAGAAAGAAAGAAATGTAACCTTATCAGGAAATGGTGAAAATAGACAGAAAGAAAAGAAAGAAAGAAAGAAAAGAAAGAAAGAAAGAAAGAAATGTAACCTTATCAGGAAATGGTGAAAATAGACAGAAAGAAAGAAAGAAAGAAAGAAAGAAAGAAAGAAAGAAAGAAATGTAACCTTATCAGGAAATGGTGAAAATAGACAGAAAGAAAGAAAGAAAGAAAGAAAGAAAGAAAGAAAGAAATGTAACCTTATCAGGAAATGGTGAAAATAGACAGAAAGAAAGAAAGAAAGAAAGAAAGAAAGAAAGAAAGAAAGAAAGAAATGTAACCTTATCAGGAAATGGTGAAAATAGACAGAAAGAAAGAAAGAAAGAAAGAAAGAAAGAAAGAAAGAAAGAAAGAAAGAAATGTAACCTTATCAGGAAATGGTGAAAATAGACAGAAAGAAAGAAAGAAAGAAAGAAAGAAAGAAAGAAAGAAAGAAAGAAAGAAAAAAGAAAGAAAGAAAGAAAGAAAGAAAGAAAGAAAGAAAGAAAGAAAGAAATGTAACCTTATCAGGAAATGGTGAAAATAGACAGAAAGGAAGGAAGAAAGAAAGAAAGGAAGGAAGGAAGAAAGAAAGAAAGAAAGATGTCCAATAAGGAAAAAAGAACAGAAAGAAACGAAAACTAAAATGCTAAGGAAAGTAAAAATGAAAAAAGAAAAAGGAAAGAAAGAAAGAAAGAAAGAAAGAAATAGGATCGAGAAAAAGGAAAAAAACAGAAACTATAAAATAGTAATAAAAATGAGAAAGAAAATGAACAAAGAAAAAAGGAAAAAAGAAATTGAAGCGAAAAGAAAGAAAGAAACAGACAAATAGGTTCGAGAAAAAGAAAAAGAAAAAAGAAGCGTAAATAGTAAGAAAAAGTGTAAACGAAAATGAAAGAGAAGTGATAGCAAAAGAAAGAAAAGAAAAGAAAAGAAAAGAAAAGACGGAAATGAAGCCAAAATGACAACAGTATTTAGTCATGAAGCAAGGGTTAGGGTTAGGGTTTGGTCAATGCAAGTGAAATTGAATGTCGCTTTTGTTAAACGATGTGAAACTCGAGTTCTTTGCAAAAATCTTGAGAGCTGTGAGAGTTGATCAAATAACACGTGTCTTCTCAAACAACTGCTTACGATGCTTAGACGTTTACACGAGTAGCGTAGGCTAGGACTGGGACAGAATGAGAGCCGTGTGCCACTTGAAAAGCTGATCTTGACTTTACGACCAAAGAATTGATTCCAGGATGTACTGGTTCAAAACAAAAGACATTTGGCTCTCATTCTAACAATGCGAACAATTCTTTTGAGAGTAAGTATATGAAAAATAAAGTTAGTAGAAAGACTGAAGTTCGATCCTACCTTCTGGTAAAAATGGCGTTGTTTTTCTTTTTTTTCTCTCTTTCCTTTCTTTACCGCAACGGTATTTTTTTCGGCAACGATTTCAACTTCACTTAATTAAAGTCTTTGCTTAAGATTTCTTACCACCTTTTTTTTATTTTGTATAATTCTTCCTTTCTCTCTCTCTCTCTCTCTCTCACTCTCTCTATCTCTCTATCTCTCTTTCTCTCTCTCTCTCTCTCTTTCTTTCTTGCTTTCGTTCCTTCTTTCTTTCTTTCTTTCCTCTTTTCTTTCTTTCCTCTTTTCTTTCTTTCTTTCTTTCTCTTTTCTTTCTTTCTTTCTTTCTTTCTTTTCTTTCTTTCCTTCCTTCCTTCCTTCCTTCCTTTCTTTTCTTTCTTTCTTTCTTTCTTTCTTTCTTTCTTTCTTTCTTTCTTTCTTTCCTTCCTTCCTTTTCCTTTCCTTCTTTCTTTTTCTTTCTTTCTTTCTTTCTTTCTTTCTTTCTTTTCTTTCTTTCTTTTCTTTTCTTTTCTTCTTTCTTCTTTTCTTTCTTTCTTTCTTTCTTTCTTTCTTTTTCTTTCTTTCTTTCTTTCTTTTCCTTTCTTTCTTTCCTTCTTTCTTTCCTTTCTTTCTTTCTTTTTCTTTCTTTTCTTTCTTTCTTTTTTCTTTTTCTTTCTTTCTTTCTTTCCTTCCTTCTTCCTTCCTTTTCTTTCTTTCTTTTTTCTTTCTTTCTTTCTTTCTTTCTTTTCTTTCTTTTCTTTTCTCTTAAGCTCTATTATTCTACCTTACCGGTGAGAAGTAAGTTCCACTCGAACAGCTTCTTCCTGCGAATCACTATTCTGTGGAACTGACTCCCAAGAGAATGCTTCTCCGATCACTAACCAGTTCAAGTCTGGAGTTAATCGTTAGCCTCTACCTCAAATGGCTCTCAAGCCTTGTATAGAGTGAACTTCAGTGTAAAAAAAGAAAAAAATGTTTTTCTTTCTTTCTTATTTTTCTCTTTTCTTTCCGAATTTATAGTTTTCTTTCATTTTCTTTAACTTTTCTTTCTTTTTTTTTCTTTCTTTTATTTTATCTGGGATTTGTTCTTTCTTTCTGTTTTTACTACTCTCTTAATTCGTTTAACTTTTTTCTTTTCTTTTTCTTTCAGTCTTTCGTTATTTATGTCTTTCTTTTATTTTGTCTGATCCAGTTTTTTTTCACTTTCTTTCTGTCTTTTTTCTTTAATTTTGCTTTAATCTTACTTTTTTCTTTCTTTCTTTTCTTTTCCTTTTTTCTTTTATTATATCTTTTTTTTATTTCAACATGTTTTCTTTTCTGTTTTTATTTATTTGTTTCTTTTTACGACATTCCTTCCTTTTTTTTTTCAATTTCCTTTCTTTGTTTCTTGCTGGCTTCACTGCTGTCTTTCTTGCTTTCTTTTTTCATTTTCATTTTTCTTTGTTTAACTTTTCTTTCTTTATCTTTTCCTTTCGTTTTCTTTTTTCTTTCCGTCTCTCTTTACATCGTTTTTATTTTGCTTAAAAATCTTTCACTCTTTCTATTTTTTTATTATTTTTTTTTTTTTTCTTTTGTTCTTTCTTTCTTTCTTTCTTTCTTTCTTTCTTTGGTTATTTTTCTTTATTTTATTGTTAGCTTTCTTCTTTTTAATTATTTATCTTCAGTTTTTTTTTAACAATTTCTTTCTATCTGGTTATTTTTAACTCGCTTTTATTTTTCGCCTTTTTTTAATATCCTTAGTTATTAAGATTTTTTTCTATTATTTCATTTTTCTTTCTTTCTTTATTTATTTATTTAACTTTTATTTTTAAAATTCTTTTTTCTTTCTTTCTTTGTCTTTATTTTTAAAATTCTTTTTTCCTTTTTCTTTCTTTCTTTCTTTTTCTTTCTATCTTTCTTTCCCTTTTCCTTTATGTTTTAGTTATTTGTCGTTCTTTTATTTTTAAAATTCTTTTTTTTTCTGTCTTTCTTTCTGGCCATAGATATTTAGATCTTTCTTTTATTTTTAAAATTCGACTTTTTTTCTTTCTATCTCTCTAGTTATTTATATCTTTATTTTATTTTAAAATTCTTTCTTTTTTCTTTCTTTTTTTCTGTTTTTATTTAGTTTAGTCTTTCTTTTATTTTTATATTCTTTCTTTCTTTCTTTCTTTCTTTCTTTCTTTCTTTCTTTAGTCATTTGCTTATCTTTTATTTTTTGAATTCTTATTTTTTATTTATTCTTTTTTTAATTTTTTTTCTTTCTTTCTTTTGTTAGTTGTCTTTGTTTTATTTTTAAAAATTTCCTTATTTTCTTTTTTTTCTGGTCACAGTTATTTAGATATACATTTTATTTTTAAAATTCAACTTTTTTCGTTATTTCTGTCTCTTTTTTATTTTTGGAATTTTTTTCTTTCTTTCTTACTTTCTTTCTTTCTTTCTTTCTTTTTTCTTTCTTTCTTTCTTTCTTTCTTTCTTTCTTTCTTATTCCATTACCTTCTCCTTTATTTCTTATTTATTTCCTCTTTTTCCTGTTCGCCCCCCTTTCCGTTCCTCTTTCTTTCTTTCTTTCTTTCTTTCTTTCTTTCTTTCTTTCTTTACCTTCTCCTTTATTTCTTATTTATTTCCTCTTTTTCCTGTTCGCCCCCCCTTCCGTTCCTTTTTCTTTCTTTCTTTCTTTCTTTCTTTCTTTCTTTCTTTCTTTCTTTCTTTCTTTTTTCTTTCTTTTATCTTTTTAATTCTTTTTTCGTTCTATCTTTCTTCTTCGTTTTTCATTCTTTTTTTCATTCTTCCTTCCTTCCTTTCCATCTATCTTTCTCTTTCCTTTCTTTCTTTTTTTTCCGACCAAAGTTATTTAGATTTTCTCTTATTTTTAAAATTCGACATTTTTTCTTTCTTTCTTTAGTTATTTATATTTTCTTTTATTTAAAAGTTCTTTCTTTTTACTTTCTTTCTTTTTACTTTCTTTCTTTTTTCTTTCTGTCTTTAATTAGCTTACTCTTTCTTTTATTTTATATTCTTTCTTTCTTTCTGTTTTTTAGCTATACCTTTTTTGTTCAGCATTTCTTTTTCTGTTCTTGATGTATATACCTATATAATATTTTAACTTTCTTTCTTGCTTGCTTTCTTAATTAGTCTGTTTCTTTTCTTTTTTTTTTGTTCTATTTTTTTCTTAGGTATTTTTTCCTTAATTTATTTATTTTTTCTTCCTTGCATTCATTTTTTATTGTATTTTTTTTTTTTTTGATTACCGCCTGTGTTAATTCTTATTTTTTATTTTTGTTTTCACGTCTCTGTTTGCTAAATTTTCAAAGGTGCTCTCTTTCACCAACGCACCTGCCCGACCGGGCTTTATGGAGAAACTCTCGGAGGTCAAAATTTATTAGCCATCATCCCGAGATAACGTCGCCAGTTTCCGATAAGGTACCATTGTGATATATCCTGAGAGCTTGTATCTCACTGGGTGATGACATCGTCGACACAGGCCAGCTGTTAAATGCCCATGACCCACGCCTCTTTTTCATTCTACCCCCGATCCGTACCGCATCCATCCTGGCATCACACCTGACCACCCCACTCTTGATCATTATTCTATTGAAATGAAAACGTTCTCTATAAGAAGGTTAGGCTGCTGAAAAGTTCTCGACCCGGCCCACTTCCGAAAATCTGACCAAATGACCAAACATATATAAGAATAAGAAGGGTGCTGAAAAGTTCTCGACCCCAATCCAGAAACCATTTTTCTCAAATTATAATGTTTGGTCAGATTTAGTGGAATAGGACGGTACTAAACCTTTTTTTTTCTTTTCCCTATCGTATAACATTTTCAAAAGGAGTGGAGTAAGACATGTCCTTGACTGCAGGAACTTTTGTGTGTTTTTGGGGGCGGGAATGAATGTGTGTGTGCGTCTGTGCGCGCGCGCGTGTGTGTGTGTGTGTGTTTAGGTACATTGGTTTGGTAGAAGGCAGTACTTTCTGAGCGACTGTTCGGTTAAACTCTCTTCCTAGGGACGGGAGGAACCCGAAGGAGGCTACGCCGAAAGGCGGAGTCTCTTTCGGGGAGGTAGACCAGCCCTGAACCCGTTTATACGGGTTCAATGGGCTATTTTTTGGCCGAGCCCACGGGCTCGGAATGCCCACGTTAAAAAGGCCTTGTGCCACATGACACCCTCGTGGTGGGGTGACTGAATATCGTCAGTCGATGGGTCAAATGTTTTTACATCTTAATTCTGCTTGAATGGAGAGGAGTCTCTTTTTCTTTTTCTTTTTTTTTCTTTCTTTTTTAAATCCAATTGAGTCTTTCCTTCCGTTCTTTCTTTCTTTCTTTCTTTCTTTCTTTCTTTCTTCTTTCACGTGTTATTTATGTCTTCATTTCTATTTTCATTCTTTCTTTATGTATCTATTTTATTCATTGCTTTCCTGTTTTATTTTTCTTTCTTTCTTTTTCTTTCTTTCTTTCTTTGATATATTTCCTTTCACTTTTTCTTTCCCTTTTCCTTTTGAACATATTTCTTTTTCTTTCTTTCTTTATTTTTCTTTCTTTCTTTTTTTAAAATTTTCTTTCTTCTTTCTTTTCCTTTCTTTCTTTTATCTTTTCTCCTTTTGTTTCTTTCTTTTTTCTTTCTTTGGTATATTTCCTTTCACTTTTTCTTTCCCTCTTCTTTTTGTTCATACCTCTTTTTCTTTCTTTCTTTCTGATGTGGGTGCCAAAGTTGGGACCACAGAAGGAAAACACGGAACATGGATTAGATGTAAGAAAGATATATTAACAACAGGTTACAGAGATAGTGTAAGCGGAGCTTACTATATGTTAGTGTCCAACACTGGTAGTCGTACGCGGCTCTCACTCTCTCTCTGTGTCTCTGTCACTCAGTAGAGTGCTATGTCGCCTACTTAATATAGGCCTGGAAGAGTTTATTGTGTAGGTAGTTTCCGGTCTCACAATACCCCCCTTCCAAAGAGTTTTCTTTTTGAAAAGGAGAGAAAAAATAAAACTGTTAATACTTTTTACTCTTGGGATTTACGTCGAGCGGTTGAGTAAATTTCCTTTTCCTTCCTGAGCGTCGCACTTCAGGAGAGACTTGGGGCATGTCAAGATCGAACGAGAGATCTTGATGCGTGAGCCACAGCTTTTCGCGAACCATCTGACAGTTTATGTAACCTGCAAGCACCAATGCCGTACGAGCTTGCATCCCTTGCGACTATGATGTCGAGACTAGGATCGTAATGGGTGAGGGAGAGGTCTAAAGTAAGAGTTTTCTTGATCTTCTCGAATGCGTCTTGGCATTCCGGGGTCCATGACCATGGTTTGTACTTTTTTAAAAGTTGGTTGAGAGGCCCTCTCAAATTTTGCATGTTCTTAATGGACCCTTGGTAAAAGTTAGCTAGGCCGCGGAAGCTTTGTAACGCTTGAACGTTATCTGGGGCCGGCATATTTCTGATCGCGTTGGCTCGTATTTGATTGGACTTCTTTTTTACGTAGACCGTAGGTGCTGCCCACTCGCTGAAATCTGTTTTTGACAGAATACCTGCTTGTTCGAGTCTATCTAACTCTTGGTTGATTTGCTCTAGAGCAGCGAAAGGGACATTCCGTTTCTTTTTGAATACCGGTTGTGCACCGTCCTTCACCTTGAACTTAGCTTTCATTTTAGTACATTTCCCAAGGCCGCCAGAAAAAACCTGGGGAAATTGTTGTTTGAGTTCCTTTTGAGATTTACCAAATTGGACGTTGTACTTTGTATCTTGCGACAAAATGTACTCATTGGGCAATCCCAAAGATTGAATTTTTCTATCCAATCTGTTCCAAATAAGTTATCTGAAGTTTTCAATACGTAGGCTTTGAGCTTTTTGGTAACTCCATTTAGTGTTACTGTAAGTATTACCTCGCCTAAAATGTTAATCTTTTCGCCAGTTACGGACTTCGCTGTTTTATCCGTTTTTAATAAGGTCGGCTTGTTCAATGTTCGCCAAGTACGCCAGTTAATGGTTGAAAGATCGGAACCCGATTCAAGCTGGAATTTAATGGACTTATTGAAAATATCCACAGTTACATATTTTCTTAAATTCCTATCGACAATATTGTCAGATTCAGCTTGCCTAATTTTATTTTTGGGTTTTCTCGTTCTGTTGGCGTACCAGCACGAAGTTAAAGTATGCCCACTTTTATTGCAATTTTTGCAATATTTTTTGTTCTTAACTGGACAGAATTTCATCCAATGCCATTTACCACAATGGTAACATGGTCCGAGCGGTTTCTTTAACCTATTTGGGATTTGGTTACTGCGGAATTTAAGACATGAGATTTGCCTTTTGTCTTTTTGAGGGGAATAGGAGGTAGACTTACTTCTGATTTTATTAATCTGAGCCACCCTTGATTCCTCGATAGTGTTTGAGTCACGCTTTACAGATATTACTCTTTGACAGTCCTCTGTCAGTTTTTGCAGAGTCAATCCTTGTTCGCTCTCAAGCTTGGTGAGTACCCGTCGTCTGACTTCGGCGTCTTCTGCTGATACTAGACCTTGTGCGAAAATCAAGCACTTGAAATCATCGGCAGTCAGTTCGGCTAGTTTAAAATCATTACAAAGCTTGTTTACCGAGGCTGCAAACGTTAGAAAATCTTGCTGGTTGTCTTTGACTGTGTTCAGCCTTTCCAACGTTTGTGGAACAAGGTTGTGTTAGGCCCGAATAGTTCCGATAGGAGCTTAATAGTCTCTGAAAAATCCAAGTCAGTGGTTTTCTTGGGTAGTATGAAGTCTACGAACCTACTATGTTCTGTAGTTCCCAGTTTTCTCAATAGTAGACGTACCTTTTTTTTACTGGACCATTGTTCACAGTCTAGGTTGAAAATATCTTCGTAGCGCCTGTAAAAAGCCTGGAACGTTTTGTCTTCCTCTGGTATGTATTCAACGGTTTCCATTGAATTGTAGATTGTACTCTGGGAGAATATTGTATCTTTTTCAGAGTTTGAGCCTTTTAATGCATTTACGAGTAATTCTTTAAGTTGTTTCTGTTGTAGTTCAGCATTCTGAAGCGTAATTTTTTGGAATTCCATTTGTTGTTTATGTAATTCCAAAAATAGTTGTTGTTGTCTTTCTTCTGATTTTTGTTGCTGATCCAAATTTAGTTTTAACATTTGGGCAACTACTTTTTGCAAATCTTCCATATTTAAAAATGTCAACGCTTTTTTTTGCTTTGAAACATGTGTACTAAGAGGAGGTGAACAAAAAAATATCTTGATAGATTTTTGTTCCTTTTTTTTTTTCTTTTACAGAAAAAAAATATGGACAGAAAATTAGTTAAACTAAACTAATTATATGTGTTTAGCTTTTTTTGCAATTCCGTGGTTCCGTTAATTTTAACGTAATTGCATAAATTTTTCACCACACTTATGTATTTTTTTTTTTTTAGAAAGGTACAAAAAAGAGAAAACACACCTCAGTGAATTTGAGGGGAGAGTAATTTTATGCCCGAATTCAACTCAGTTACATAAAAAAAATTTTCGATAGTTTTTTCCGAAAACTTGAGTACAATGGTAGTACTACTGCTCTTGTATTGTCAGTTTGTTTTATGAACAACTGTTTTTTTTTCTGTGTGTGTGGGTGTGTAGAAATCGTTCACGTATTGGATAGACTTTAATATTCTGTAGATGTCGAATCACTAGTTCGTCACTGATGTTTGGTATTGGAATATATAATTTTTTTATATGTAGACGCTGGGTGTTTAGCTTTAAAATCGCTAATGTATTAATACCAGCTTAATTTCACGTTCAACACTGCTGTGGGAACGCGTGGAGTTTGTGTATTTTTCGAGTACTGTCGCTATTGATATGGTGAGAACGAAATTCTCGAATCTTTTCTGTCGCTACTGATGTGGGACTGGCAAGGTATTGCGGTTTTTCGACGTGAATGCGTTTCTAGAATTCTTCGTCGACCCAGATTTGGAATTGGTAAGGTATTTAGGTTTCACCGTGAGTGCGTTTCTAGAATCCTCGTCGCCACTGATGTAGGGCCAAAGTTGGGACCACAGAAGGAAAACACGGAACACGGATTAGATGTAAGAAAGATATATTAACAACAAGTTACAGAGATAGTGTAAGCGAAGCTTACTATATGTTAGTGTCCAACACTGGTAGTCGTACTTGTCTCTCTGTGTCACTCCCTGTCACTCAGTAGAGTGTTATGTGGCCTAGTTAATATAGGCCTGGAAGAGTCTATTGTGTAGGTAGTTTCCGGTCTCAAAATACTTTCTTTCTTTTCTCTTTTTGTTCCTTTCTTTCTTTCTTTCTTTCTTTCTTTCTTTCTTTCTTTCAAACTTTCTTTCTTTCAAACTTTCTTCTTGCTTTTTCTTTCTTTCCTTTCTCTTTTTGTTTCTTTCTTTTTTCTTTCTTTGATATATTTCCTTTCACTTTTTCTTTCCCTCTTCTTTTTGTGCATACCTCTTTTTCTTTTTTCTTTCTTTTCTCTTTTTGTTACTTTCTTTCTTTCTTTCTTTCTTTCTTTCTTTCTTTCATTTAAATTTTCTTTCTTCTTTCTTTTTCTTTCTTTCTTTTCTCTTTTTGTTTGTTTGTTTCTTTCTTTTTTCTTTCTTTGATATATTTTCTTTCACTTTTTCTTTCTCTCTTCTTTTTGTACATACCTCTTTTTCTTTCTTTCTTTCTTTCTTTCATATAATTTTCTCTCTTTTTAAAAATATAATACATCTTTCTGAAAATTTATTTGAGGAATATTAGCTGATTTAAACTTAAAATAATCTGATATGAAACAAATATTACTTACTTTCAGTTTAAAACATTGCAGAAACATAATTTCTACTAACTGATGAGTAATCTTAAAAATTTAAGAAAATATTCTAAACACACTGATATTTTATTGAATTTTAGGTACTTTGGCTTTATAGTCTAATTTACGAAGACACTTGTTGAGGAAATGTTACCAATAAATGTGAACTGTACTATAGTTATCGTTCTTATTTTTTTGATTATGTCACGTTTGGACATCCGTATTTACAAAAATCGACACGTTTATCGGTATTAACTTTTTACCTGTAGTTTATCCTAGGTGTATTTGGGAAATATTTTTTTCATTTATGCACTTTTGATTAGAAAGCATCGAAAGTGCCTTGCTGATTATTTTGTTATTTACCTTTGTAATATATCTAATTGTTGTAACCTAAGAGAGGTTACTGAATGGAATAATCACACGAAGGTTGGTTTGGTTTATTTTGTTTTACGACATATCAACCTGAATGGGTTATTTAATGCCGACAACATTTTTAGGATAGATTCGTATGAATAGAATATGTATTCTTTGGTTTAGATTGGTTTGGTTTATTTTGTTTTACGGTATATCAACCTCAATGGGTTATTTAATGCTGACAACATTCTTAGGATAGATTCGTATGAATAGAATATGTATTCTTTGGTTTAGATTGGTTTGGTTTATTTTGTTTTACAGTATATCAACCTCAATAGGTTATTTAATGCCGACAATTTTTTTTATTGCTGGTAATATTTTGTTTTGTCAAAAATCTGTTTCTGGTAATATTTTTCCTTCAAAATTGTATTGCTGGTAATAATTTTTTCAAAAAACTATTGCTGGTAAGAGTTAACTATTTGCCCATAGTTGTGACCCCTAACAGGTGCTACCACCCCGGTTCAGGGTGGACCTGGGAACACCAGCAGTTAAAAGGTGGTTCCACGTTCCTCAAAACCTCCTGATCAGAGGCCTTGCTGCTGGACATAGTTTAACGTCTTACCCAGGACGACACACAAAGGTTGGTAATGAACGATAACACTTAAGACAAGAACAACGCATATAAGATTCGCCAGCCGGGCGTAGAAATAGTAATCAACTGCTAGAAGTGAGTCAAGTGAATTCCACAATTAGTTTGCTATAAAACAAATTGTAAATGGATAGTAATATTCGAAAGGGATTAGTCATGGGAATTTCCAAGTGTAGCTTAGATGTGGCACATGGCTGCATCCAGTAAGGATCGAACTCACTACTCAGTCGTAATTGTTTTAGCTTGCTAACCATTACACCGCCTCGAGGTGCCCAGTCATGTGAAGATATATTTGCCAATACGAACCGGGAATCAGAAAAATTATTAGAAATACTGAAAAAGTAAATAAAACAAATCAGCAGGAATTTTTGTTATTTTATTTATTTTTTTTTTTAGTCAGAATACAATAAATTATAAAACATAGAAAGAAAGAATGATGGGGTTAGTGAAAAATATAGAATTTTTTTTACGAGAAGGATTATTCGATTATAAAAATATATATATATATATATATATATATATATATATATATATATATATATATAATTCTGTCAAACTGACCATGGGAATTCAGAGCAGCATGGATCCATCCAGCTCTTATCTCAAATAACAACTTAAAAAAGACTGTTTGACCAACACAAAGACTGACCAAAATTCATGTTAAAAAAATTAAAAAAAAAACAAATGAAAACTACAGACAAAAGTTCATTTTCTCTATCAAGACATTTATTTCTGTAGTTTACTGCTACCAGCAAGCAGAAATATTTATTCTCCTGATGATGGCCATTTTGGGCGAAACTAGTCAAAGAATCTAAATGAAATAATAATAACGAAAGAATATTAATCTACACCCCAATTGTTTTTAATTTTTTTATTGTTCAATATATATATATATATATATATATATATATATATATATATATATATATAAAATAAATATAAATAAACAGGAAAATATAAAATAAATATAAAAATATAAAATAAATATAAACATAAATAAATATAAAATATAAAATAAATATAAATATAAATAAATATGAAATATAAAATAATTATAAATATAAATAAATATAAAATAAAAAATTAAACATAAATAAATATAAAATATAAAATAAATATAAATATAAATTAATTTAAAAAATATAAAATAAATAAAATATAAATAAATATAAAAATATAAAATAATATAAACATAAATAAATATAAAAATATAAAATAAATGTAGAAATATGAAATAAATATAAACATAAATAAATATAAATATAAATAAATATAAAAATCTAAAATAAATATTAATATAAATAAATAAAAAAAATATAAAATAAATATAATAAATATATATATATATAATATAATATATAATATAATAAATATAATATAATATATATATATATAAAATAAATATAAATAAACAGGAAAATATAAAATAAATATAAAAATATAAAATAAATATAAACATAAATAAATATAAAAATATAAAATAAATATAAATATAAATAAATATGAAATATAAAATAATTATAAATATAAATAAATATAAAATAAAAAAGAAAACATAAATAAATATAAAAATATAAAAATAAATATAAATATAAATTAATTTAAAAATATAAAATAAATAAAAATATAAATAAATATAAAAAATATAAAATAATATAAACATAAATAAATATAAAAATATAAAATAAATGTAGAAATATGAAATAAATATAAACATAAATAAATCTAAATATAAATAAATATAAAAATCTAAAATAAATATTAATATAAATAAATATAAAAATATAAAATAAATATAAACATAAATAAATATAACAATATAAAATAAATATAGAAATATGAAATGAATATAAACAGAAATAAATATAAATAAATATAAAATATAAAATAAATATAAATATAAATAAATATAAAATATAAAATAAATATAAACGTAAATAAATATAAAAAATATAAAATAAATATAGAAAATGAAATAAATATAAACATAAATAAATATAAATATAAATAAATATAAAATATAAAATAAATATAATATAAATAAATATAAAAAATAAAAATAAATATAAAATATAAAATAAATATAGAAATATGAAATAAATATAAACATAAATAAATATAAATATAAATAAATATAAAATATAAAATAAATATAAACATAAATAAATATAAATATCAATAAATATAAAAATATAAAATAAATATAAATATAAATAAATATTAAAATACAAAATAAATATAAAAATATAAAATAAATATAAACATAAATAAATATAAAATATAAAATAAATATAGAAATATGAAATAAATATAAACATAAATAAATATAAATATAAATAAATATAAAAATATAAAATAAATATAAATATAAATAAATATAAAAATATATTAAAAAATAGCGAATAGAAAAACACTGGGGAAATAAACGAAAGACAGGATATTGATGTGGATATTACAGTCTGCAAATAGGAAGGAAGACAGGAAATGAATAAAGGAGGTTTTTTTTTTTTGGAGGGGGGTTGTTGTTGTTTTTTTAGATGAAAGATATTAAAAACTCACAAAAAAATAAAAAACAACTACAAACAAAAAAATGCGAACAAACAGGAAGTTAAGAAAAACTTCATTTTATTATTATTATTTTTTTAAGCTAACAAAATTAAAAAAAAAAACAGAAAAAAAAAACAGAAAAAAAAATACAGAAAAAAAAACAGAAAAAAAAAACAGAAAAAAAAATAACGAACAAAACCGTTTCAAAGATCAGGGCGATAAAATCAGAAGCAATTTTAAAATTACTTTGCTTACCGCATCGTTGGGACGAATAGTCTGAAAGAACTGCATCTTTTTAAAAAAAGCCAGCTGTCGTCGTAATACAGTGACAAGAGTCAAAGGTGGGCCTCACAGGTCGGCAATGCCGGCCGTCACCCCGACTCCTTCAACTCTATGCGTGTCACTTGGGCAAAGGAATCGGAGTTAATCACAGTTAAGGATCTTGAAGCCTTATTTCATAAAAAATAAGAGACGTTGTTTATTCGGTACGTGGTCGACAAAGACGGGGTTTGATATTATATAGAGAAATATACACGGTCTATATACTACGTGTAACAGTAAAATTGTCTAAATCCTGTAACAGCATTATCCACAAATTCCACAAAATGTTTAATATCTAAAAAAAAAAAAAACCTTAAGCTAATTGAGTTTCTTTTTTTTTTTAGGTTTTCAGAGAACACATTTAGCCATCTTGACACCGTTTGTCGTAAGAATCTCTGAAAATCCCTTTCAGTTATTCAGCTAGAAAGAGAAGAGGTTAAAATCGTTCTGTGTCAGCTTCTCTATGTCTTCGCAACTGAGCAATGGTGAGAAGGAAAAGATCATTCGGGCCTTCAGTAATGGTACCAACATTCATACTCCATCTTCAAAGTCCATTCAAGAAACATTAAAAAAGAGAGAACAGTAGAGAGGAAAACTTGATCAGGAGGTCACAACAGGAAGAGGGATCATCATTTCAAATTAGAGATGAAGAGTTCAATTAGAAAAGATCCAACTCAGTCCACAAGACGTTTGGCACGTGAGAGATCAAAATCACCAATGACAGTCCGAAGAGCAGTGAAAAAAGACTTAAAAATGAAATCGTACGTGAAACCTGTGAGGCATCTTGTTACTTCAGGACAGAATGTTAGAAGGTTAGACAGGGTTAAGTTGAAAATGACTCTGAATATATATATATATATATATATATATATATATATATATATATGAAGAAATATAGTCTTAAGATGTGCTATATTTATGGGATAAAGTGCTCAGTATCAGAGATAGAGCGTGTGTAGATATAAAATGAACATAGACTTCTATGTTCACTTTTTATATATATATATATATATATATATATATATATATATATATATATATATATATATATAGAAAGAAAGAAAGAAAGAAAGAAAAAGAAATGGAAAAGTGAAAAAATGGAAAGAAAGAAAGAAATAATGGAAAGAAAGAAAGAAATGGAAAAGTGAAAAAATGGAAAGAAAGAAAGAAAGAAAGAAAGAAAGAATGGAAAAAAGAAAGAAAGAAAGACAGACAGAAGGGAAAAAAGAAAGAAAGAAAGGAAAACAAGAAAGAAAGAAAAAAAGAAAGAAAGGAAGAAAGAAAGAATTAATGGAAAACAAGAAAGAAAGAAAGAAAGAAAGAAAGAAAGAAAGAAAGAAAGAAAGAAAGAAAGAATGGAAAAAAGAAAGAAAGAAAGAAAGACAGAAAGAAAGACAGAAAGAAAGACAGACAGAAGGGAAAAAAGAAAGAAAGAAAGGAAAACAAGAAAGAAAGAAAAAAAGAAAGAAAGGAAGAAAGAAAGAATTAATGGAAAACAAGAAAGAAAGAAAGAAAGAAAGAAAGAAAGAAAGAAAGAAAGAATGGAAAACAAGAAAGAAAGAAAGAAAGAAAGGAAGAAAGAAAGAATTAATGGAAAACAAGAAAGAAAGAAAGAAAGAATGGAAAACAAGAAAGAAAAAAAGAAAGAAAGGAAGAAAGAAAGAATTAATGGAAAACAAGAAAGAAAGAAAGAAAGAATGGAAAACAAGAAAGAAAAAAAGAAAGAAAGGAAGAAAGAAAGAATTAATGGAAAACAAGAAAGAAAGAAAGAAAGAAAGAAAGAAAGAAAGAAAGAAAGAATGGAAAACAAGAAAGAAAGAAAGAATATGGGGAGACAAGAAAGCAAAGAAGAGAGGTAGAAAAGAAAAGAATTTAGAGACAAAAGAGAAAGATGGAAGATAAGGGAAAAAAGGAAACATGCAAATAGAGAGATTGAAAAGAAAGAAGGTAGAAAGAAAGAAAGATTAACTTTATTAGGGAAAGGTTAAGAAAGAAAGAAAGAAAGAAAGATAAATGTCATTTAAGAAAAAAAGAATGATTAATTTTATTAAGGAAAAATAAAGAAAGAAAGAAAGTATTGTATAAGAGTAAGTGTCATTGCCGACACTGTGGTTTGAAACTAGATTTCCAGTAAGTAACATGGGCGATCCCATTATTAAGTAGATCACATGATCATAAAGGAAGTGAATAAATAGGAAGTAGCGTGATGACTATAAGCTCACGGTACACTCTTCTTGTCTATCCACTATTGCTAAACGTTCACTCTCTCTACTACTATACGGATTATGATTCTCTTCTGATCATTATACTATTTGACAATTACTACTTGAACAAGTATTACTTGACATAGTAAAAGTGACAAGCGAAGCCGTCCAACATCACAAAACTATTCTCAGCATCCTTCTGTAGAACCAAATTTATGTTGCTTCAAGTCTCTTCTTCATCTGTGGAAACATTGTCCAGCATTCACTGCCATATTAGAGGACTGATATTACGTAACGCATTTTCGTTGTTTCTAAGGAAATCTTTCCTGTTTCATAACACTTTGCTTAGCTTTTGGAAGGCATATTTCCCTATCCCAATGCGCCTTCGGATTTAAATTTCGGACTTTCCGTCCTCTGTTAAAAAAAATCTCCAATGTGCAATTTGCATGTTGGACTGTCCCTATGCATTCTGTCTTCTTGCGATTGATATTTAGCCCTTTCTTCTCGCTTTCCTTTACATAACAATCCAGCACTCTTTTCTTTGGAAAGTTTGTAAGCTTATGCTAGGACACAAAAATCTCCTGAGCCGACCAAGCATAGAAATGAATACAATATGGGAACCAGTAATAAGGAGTGCCAGAGAAAAGCAACAATAACAACGAAAATTGCAATATGACCACTAGTAAAAAAAAACATGCAATGATAACAGCAAAAATTGCAATATGATCACTAGTAAAAATGATTGCGGAAGACATTAAATTTATGAGTCCCAGAAATTCATGCATCAGATGTCCTTAAGAACACATGGCACAGTGGACAAAGGCGTTAGTTAAATCCAGTGACAGGACCCAAAGAGTGTGAGTTCAATACCTGGTTGAGGCAGTGGAGAACTTGGAGAGGGGAAATAACAAAGGGATAACTAATAACTGACATCCATTAGACATGGAACGAGGAGCAAGAAGAGTTTACCCCAGCGAAATAAAGGGTTCAGTTCGACATTCCAACCACCTGAAGAATGGCAGAGCGTACATCGGCCGAAACGTTGTGATAAATAGGACAACAAAGATGAGGACAACAGTCCGAATAATGTAAATAGTTTTTCATTTTGATATATGGATTTTGGGCTATCCCTTTTGCTAATAACCATGCATTTCTTTCTTCTTGCGATTGATATTTAGTCCTTTCTTCTCGCTTTCCTTTACTACCATCTGTAAGGATATTTGCCAACCGCCTCACGCGGCCAGATGTGGCACAAAGCCGAATTTAACGTGGGGTATCCGCGTTCTAATAGTTTCCTTTCAACTTAGGTAGTGTGGCATATCACTGCTATTATATATTTCATTTATTATGTCTGTCATCTTGTCAATACCGAAATTATCTAAGGTTACAAGCATCTTACATTTGCAAAAAAATGTTCTTTAGGCTGTCACAGAAAAAAAAAACATGGTTGGAGATGAATACAGTATTACACCAATCTTCGTCATAGAGATCGTCTGCTTTGTTTAAGAATCAGCAATCGAAATCCATTACATTATTCGGACTATTGTCCTCATCTTTGTCGCCATATTTATTACAACGTTTCGGCCCTTTAGTATCTGTCTATATTTCTGAGATGAGGTATTATGTACACTATTTACATTATTAGGACTATTGTCCTCATCTTTGTCGCCATATTTATTACAACGTTTCGGCCCTTTAGTATCTGTCTATATTTCTGAGATGAGGTATTATGTACACTATTTACATTATTCGGACTATTGTCATCATCTTTGTCGCCATATTTATTACAACGTTTCGGCCCTTTAGTATCTGTCTATATTTCTGAGATGAGGTATTATGTACACTATTTACATTATTTGGACTATTGTCCTCATCTTTGTCGCCATATTTATTACAACGTTTCGGCCCTTTAGTATCTGTCTATATTTCTGAGATGAGGTATTATGTACACTATTTACATTATTTGGACTATTGTCCTCATCTTTGTCGCCATATTTATTACAACGTTTCGGCCCTTTAGTATCTGTCTATATTTCTGAGATGAGGTATTATGTACACTATTTACATTATTTGGACTATTGTCCTCATCTTTGTCGCCATATTTATTACAAAGTTTCGGGCCCTTTAGTATCTGTCTATATTTCTGAGATGAGGTATTATGTACACTATTTACATTATTTGGACTATTGTCCCTCATCTTTGTCGCCATATTTATTACAACGTTTCGGCCCTTTAGTATCTGTCTATATTTCTGAGATGAGGTATTATGTACACTATTTACATTATTTGGACTATTGTCCTCATCTTTGTCGCCATATTTATTACAAAGTTTCGGCCCTTTAGTATCTGTCTATATTTCTGAGATGAGGTATTATGTACACTATTTACATTATTTGGACTATTGTCCTCATCTTTGTCGCCATATATATTACGTTTCGGCCCTTTAGTATCTGTCTATATTTCTGAGATGAGGTATTATGTACACTATTTACATTATTTGGACTATTGTCCTCATCTTTGTCGCCATATTTATTACAACGTTTCGGCCCTTTAGTATCTGTCTCTATTTCTGAGATGAGGTATTATGTACACTATTTACATTATTCGGACTATTGTCCTCATCTTTGTCGCCATATTTATTACAACGTTTCGGCCCTTTAGTATCTGTCTATATTTCTGAGATGAGGTATTATGTACACTATTTACATTATTTGGACTATTGTCCTCATCTTTGTCGCCATATTTATTACAAAGTTTCGGCCCTTTAGTATCTGTCTATATTTCTGAGATGAGGTATTATGTACACTATTTACATTATTTGGACTATTGTCCTCATCTTTGTCGCCATATTTATTACAATGTTTCGGCCCTTTAGTATCTCTCTATATTTCTGAGATGAGGTATTATGTACACTATTTACATCATTCGGACTATTGTCCTCATCTTTGTCGCCATATTTATTACAACGTTTCGGCCCTTTAGTATCTGTCTATATTTCTGAGATGAGGTATTATGTACACTATTTACATTATTCGGACTATTGTCCTCATCTTTGTCGCCATATTTATTACAATTTTTCGGCCCTTTAGTATCTGTCTATATTTCTGAGATGAGGTATTATGTACCCTATTTACATTATTCGGACTATTGTCCTCATCTTTGTCGCCATATTTATTACAACGTTTCGGCCCTTTAGTATCTGTCTATATTTCTCAGATGAGGTATTATGTACACTATTTACATTATTCGGACTATTGTCCTCATCTTTGTCGCCATATTTATTACAAAGTTTCGGCCCTTTAGTATCTGTCTATATTTCTGAGATGAGGTATTATGTACACTATTTACATTATTCGGACTATTGTCCTCATCTTTGTCGCCATATTTATTACAACGTTTCGGCCCTTTAGTATCTGTCCATATTTCTGAGATGAGGTATTATGTACACTATTTACATTATTCGGACTATTGTCCTCATCTTTGTCACCATATTTATTACAACGTTTCGGCCCTTTAGTATCTGTCTATATTTCTGAGATGAGGTATTATGTATACTATTTACATTATTCGGACTATTGTCCGCATCTTTGTCGCCATATTTATTACAAAGTTTCGGCCCTTCAGTATCTGTCTATATTTCTGAGATGAGGTATTATGTACACTATTTACATTATTCGCACTATTGTCCTCATACAACTTTAGTATCTGTCTATATTTTGAGATTATTCACTATTTACATTATTCGCACTATTGTCCTCATCTTTGGCCCAAGAAGGCGCAATGAATTTTTTGAAGGATAGCATCAGCCATGATGATGGCAGAAAAAGAGGATCTCTCAGATGATTAATGGGGTGAGGTTTATTTTTGGAGTTGTTAAAATTAACATGCCATCTTTTTTTTTTATTCTTTTACTATTTTTAATGGCGCAAACTAAAATCTGTCAACTGTAAAAACTTCCTGCTCATACATTTTAAGCTCGGTACCTCCACTAATTTGCGATAATTTAGACTTACAGTGAATTTTTAAATATGAAGAAGCTTTCATTTTAACGTTAATTGAAAGCTAAAGGATTAAATTTACTATTCCCAGTAGGCAAAATACTCTGGTATATTTCAAACAGAAATTGATTGGAATCTTTATTATTATTATTGTTTTTATTTCCTTTGATTTCTGTCGTTTACACATTTCTTTCCGGGTCCCACCCATTGGCCTAAGGTTAGAAATGGCAGCATGACACTTTCCACTGACATTGTACAGAAGGCATCATGAACAGATAATCCTAGGTATGACGATAAACTACATCTAGCAGCAAGGGTTCTGATCGGGAAGTTTTGAGGAGCGTGGAGACACCTCTTAATTGCTGTTGTTCTCAGATCTGGGGTGGTAGCACCTTTTAGGGTCCCAACTATAGGCAAATAGTTAACCCCTAAACTGGGGTCAAGACAGTGAAAGTATGAAATTTATAGTAAAATTACCAGCAATACCTTTTTGCAAAAATAAAATAAAATACATTTTTGTAGAAGAAATTACTAATGCTTCCAATAAAATTGACTTTCGCCCTGAAATGACCCATAAGGAGTTGATATACCGCTAAGCAAGCAAGCAAACAAACAAAGAAACAAAGAAACGAAGAGATAATAAAATATTATTTCCTCGTTTTTTTTTATTACTATAGGTTAATGACTCCAGATTATGAACATCGAAAAAAGAATTAAATTTTAATAAAGTTAGTAGCGTTAAAGAATGTAAATTAATTGAAAATTAACTCCACTTCTCACCAGTGACATGTTTTTTCTGTTAATTTCTGAACTGGTTGGACTGGTGTAATGCCATTATTATTATTATTTTTATTTTCTTTGATTTCTGGCGTTTACACATTTCTTTCCGGTTCCCGCCCAGGGACCTAAGGTTAGAAATGGCGTCATGACACTTTCCACTGACAAAAAAAAAAAAAAAAAAAAAAAAATACATAGATAAACCCTTCGTAAAATGTGGGCTGTACTTGTGAGAACAGTTTTTTGTATCTCCTTGAGGCATGGACTTCCAGGAATCCCATCAATTAGTCTACTGGAATCTTTTCCAACCAATCCTAGGGCTCCAACTACAACAGGGATTGTTGATGTTCCCATATTCCATATTATTTTTTTTTTTTTTGCTAAATTATCTGATCAGCCCCCTTTTCTAGTCGTTTTTCATCGCAATGTAGTTATCTTTATTAAAAAATCTTCCAAAACTAAAATATTATTTTTTGAAACTTTATTTGCGGAATATTAGCTGATTGAAAGTATAATTAATCTGATTTGAAACAAATATGATTTATTTTAAATTTTAAATAACACAGAAATGCATTTTTAAATCAAACAGTAGCTGTCTTTTTAACCAACACGAGTTTACACGTTTGACGTGTGATGACAAGTGGTAACAAAGTGATGACAGGCTTATTATTATTCTACGTAGACTTTATCTGTCAAACATAACGTAAGAATGTTATGTGAGTGCCCTTTTTACTATTTTTAAGTACTCAGTAACCTTAAAAATGTCGGAAAATATTCTCCGTCATCTAATTTCAGGAATATTGACTTTAAATTTACTTATTTTCTCATAATACCGTGTATGATCGCCCATACTTTCAATAATCGGCACGTTTATGTAGATGAAAAAATTCAAAATTCTTTTAAAAATCCTGGATCTTGAAGACTGATATTAAACTTTATTATTTATGATTAGTAAATATAGCTTTCATTTAATAACAATACAGTCTAAATGACTGAAATTAATACAGCATTTTAAAAGATTTAAGACTTAATAAATTTTTCAAATTAATTTTTTTTTAAATGAAAAAATTCATTATTTATCGAAAAATTTTTCTTAAGACAATAATGTTTTCTAATTAAATAATACCGTAGTTTTATTGCATTTTTTTTTATTTTACGATTCACAGCAGATTTTTGTTAAATGGTGTTCCTACTGGACAAAAACAAAATTCTCCAAGGAGTTCTACTTTTAACTAATATTAATATCAAGCGAGTGAAATTTGAATTTCTCGAAATGTCATAAAATTAAGCGAGAGTTAACAGATGTAAAAAAAAATATATTTTTATCAAGATTTTCTAAAAAAACAAAATTTCAAAAAATATTTCATTCATTTGCGAATAAGTCCTGAGAGTTTCATTAAAATCCGACAATTATTTGATTTTTACAAGAATTTCGAAATCACCGTGTTTTTCACCGCAAAAAAAGCGCTAAAATTTCCAATACTAATTTATGATCCTCCGCTGACGAAAAAAAAGATTTTTAGCCAAAATTTCGAACGTGCTAGAAAGGATTATAAAATTTAATAAAATAATAAAAAAATAATTTAATCGTTGCTCTTAATAATAACATAAACAGAATTTTGACGATAAAACTTTGTTTTTATCAAGTTTCGGACCTTTATTTATCATGCCATTTTTTTTTAACGAAAAGGTTTGGTTAGGTTTGTTTGGTTTTACGGCATATCAACAACTCAATGGGTTATTTAATTCCGACACGATTCTTATTGCTGGCAATAATTTCTTCTAAAAATGTATTGCTGGTAAAAAAAACCTAATGTTTTGATCACAGTTCGGGGGTTAACTATTTACCCATAGCTGGGACCCTAAAAGGTGCTACCACCTCGGGTTAGAGTGGACCTGGGAATATCAACAAGTAAGAAGTGGTTCCACGCTTCTCAAAGCTTCCTGATCAGATCCCTTGCTGCCGAATGTAGTTTGTCGTCATACCCAGGACGCGGATGTAGTTTTTATCGTCATACCCAGGATGCGGATGTAGTTTATCGTCATACCCAGGAAACGGATATAGTTTTTATCGTCATACCCAGGAGGCGGATGTCGTTTTTTATCGTCATGCCCAGGACGCGGATGTAGTTTATCGCCATACCCAGGACGCGGATGTCGTTTTTTATCGCCATACCCAGGACGCGGATGTCGTTTTTTATCGTCATACCCAGGACGCGGATGTAGTTTATCGCCATACTCAGGATGCGGATGTCGTTTTTTATCGTCATACCCAGGACGCGGATGTAGTTTATCGCCATACCCTGGACGCGGATGTCGTTTTTTATCGTCATACCCAGGACGCGGATGTCGTTTTTTATCGTCATACCCAGGATGCGGATGTAGTTTTTTATCGTCATACCCAGGACGCGGATGTAGTTTTTTATCGTCATACCCTGGACGCGGATGTCGTTTTTTATCGTCATACCCAGGACGCGGATGTCGTTTTTTATCGTCGTACCCAGGACGCGGATGTAGTTTTTTATCGTCATACCCAGGACGCGGATGTCGTTTTTTATCGTCATACCCAGGACGCGGATGTAGTTTATCGCCATACCCAGGACGCGGATGACGTTTTTTATCGCCATACCCAGGACGCGGATGTCGTTTTTTATCGTCATACCCAGGACGCGGATGTAGTTTATCGCCATACCCAGGATGCGGATGTCGTTTTTTATCGTCATACCCAGGACGCGTATGTCGTTTTTTATCGTCATACCCAGGATGCGGATGTAGTTTATCGTCATACCCAGGAAACGGATATAGTTTTTATCGTCATACCCAGGATGCGGATGTAGTTTTTATCGTCATACTCAGGATGCGGATGTAGTTTATCGTCATACCCAGGACGCCTAATTTGGCTGAAGTCTTAACCCTCTGAAGAGGTGCAGTCGGCGTATTCTGAAACCCCAGCCGAGAGGGCAATTTTAGCGAAAAATTGGAGGTACCTATTTCAAGCTTAAAATTTATATCATTGAAACTAAGCCTTCTTAAGATTGTTAAGAAGGTCTGCTTGAGTTTAATGTTTCTAATAAAATTGTGTAGGCCGGACCAACTGAGATGCTTAGGGTGTTAGCTACCATTTTGGCTGTTAATGGTCGGTCACTCTCAATTAAATCTCAAACAGAGTAACCTTGTTTGAATTTTTTTTTTTTTTGTCTTTTTTTCACAAACTTATGAATATTTTTTCGTTTACATATCCGTGTCTGCGTGTGTGCTATTTATCATGTTAACCCACACGAGCCAAATGGCAAATCTAAAGAGATCTAATGACGACGGAAACGACTCAATCGTTATGCAACTGCAAACGTCACAAGAAACTCGAGGCGACATTTGGCAGGTTTAGCGGCGATGCTGGCGTGGCGGTTGGCGGAGGCGTTGGCAGTGGAAGAGGTGGGTTCAAGATCATGCTTAAGTTGTGAAGAAGCTGTAAGAAGGAGAGAGAGAGAGACAGGGGGTAGGGTAATGGGTGCCCTTCTGGTGCCGATTCCATGTCCAAGGGCATGGCGTTGGTCGTGGGATTTCTTTTGGTTCGTCTGGCTTTGAGACAAATGGTCTGGAAGAGACGGAAGTACTGACTGGAATGATATTACGCCATACTGGTAGCAGTTGTGGTAGTGTTAGCGTTCACTTTCACTGTAACAGGAATAACAGGGCGCCCTCTGCAGGCAGATGTCCGTGTTAAAATCGTGGTAAGAAATTATTCTAATCAAACTGGAATAATCTAGAAAGAACTCCTAAACTAAGCGAGTACATTGGCCAGTAGACTCTACAAAAATCTTAACCTCTGTACTCCTTTTAAAACATAGAGCAGGCAAGAGCAACGTTTTTTTTTATGTAGACCGCATAAAGTATAGTCCCTCATAAGTCGGGTCGCACGACTAAAAATGTTTTTCATTATAGATACCACCGCCATTTTCCCAACAAAAAATCATGCTCATAAGCATTTACTTTAGAAACAGAGAAAAGCCTTTCTTGTTTTCTTTAGAGAAGGGATTTCTTCTATAACTTAAAAAAAAAGAAGTCCTGATATAATATTATCACTACTGACAGAGTGATTAACACATACTGCTGTGAGAGTTGATTCTAACTTGTTTATTTGACGATGAAAAAACATTTTTAAAAGCAGTATATTTATTCTCTAGAGAAAAATAACTATCATTAACGTTTCCGCAAAAGATGTTTACACTTATGATCTTCCTTAGTGAAAATCGTCAATGGTTTAAAAATGCTGACAACGTTACCTTCAACGAAATGTTACAAATTTCAAGACACGGTGTACTTAATGATTGTTTATGTATGTGACTGTGCATCAGTGAACAGGTGAGAACGAAAGGAAGGAAGCAAACATTTTAATAAAGTTATTTTCCTCATGAAATTAGGCATACACCATAAGGCGAGCCGCACTAATAAAAGAATTAAGATATTTTTTAATTAAAAATATCGTAGCCATTTTGCCAACAAAACATCTGCTTTAGAAATTGAGAAAAGTTGATTTATTTTTTCTTTGGAGACAAAATTCCTTATATAATTAAAAAAAAATTGAAGTCTTCGTATATATAATATTATCACTGAGGACATCGTGATTAAGACACATTGCTGGGTGTGGGTTAATTCTGATTTATTCATTTGAGTAGACAAAAATATTTATAAAAGAAGAATAATTATCATTGACGTTTCCTGTTTCCGAAGCAAAAGATATTTACACGTATGATCTTCCTTAGCGAAAATCGCCAATTGTTTAAAATGTTGACAACGTTACCTCCAAAGAAATGTTATAAAATTCAAGAAACACTGTACATAATCATTGTTTATGCATGAGAGAGTGTGTGAGTGAACAAGTGAGAACGATATGAAACAACATTTTAATAAACATAAAGATCATGATTATTATTATTTTTTTCCGATTTTTTCTCCCGTTTGGTGTTGAGCCGAATTCTATGAACGCGATGACACATTACCGCAAATTTATAAACAGAAAACTTTAATCTCTCTAATTATCTTAATAGCTTGATTAGCATCGCTCGAAAAAAATGTTTATAGAATTCTCCATCATGCAGGGCCTATTTTTTTTTCAGACCTTTTAAAGTGTTTCTGGCAAATATATCGTCTGTTGTTTAGATATTGGCTCCAAAAAGTCAATGGTGATACATATACAAACGTTGTGTACGCCCACCTCTGTCTTTTTTACAAATACTTTTATGGTAATTGCTCCAATGAGCTGCTTTCGCTGGTTTCCAGACTTCATGAATTTAAGCGTTCTACTAGGCTGGCATCTCGCTCTCACCCTTTTACTGTCGAAACTGTTAAATGTAGCCGTCTCTTCTACTCCAATAGCTTCATGTCTCGCACTTCTCGCCTGTGGAACTCCCTCCCCTTTTCCTGTTTCCCTGATAGCTATAATCTCCAACTATTCAAATGTAACGTCAATCGACGTCTCCAGATTCCTTGATCTATCCCCTATCCTTCTCTTCATCCTTTCCTCTATCACTCCTCTTTGCTCTAGCTCCAACTCTCTGTACCCCCTTGCGTGCTAATGGCTTCCCGTCTTGCTTGGGGTGAAACGATTACAAATTTGTTTTTTTTTTTTTACAAAGTATTTCTGGTATTAAAATCTATTTTTACACTTTCATAGTGTTTTGAGTCAGGCTGGAGGGTCAACTATTTGCCCATAGCTGGGACCCTAACAGGTGCCACCACCCCGGTTCAGGGTGACCTTGGAACGTCAACAATTAAGAGGTGGTTCCACGCTCCTCAAAACCTCCTGTTCAGAGGCCTTGCTGTTGGACGTAGTTTATCGTCTTACCCAGGACAGACAGAAGACAAGGATTGGCATTGCATTTAAATTTTTGAAGATCAAAGTTGACTTGGAAGCAAGAAACCAGAAGAGAGTTCCACAACCGAGAAGTGCGACAGAAGAAACGGTTAGCATAGAACTTACGGTTACATCTAGACATTTCAACTGCAAAATGATGGAACCTAGCTGCCAATCTCTTACTGCGCTTAAATTTATAGAGTCTGGGTACCATAGAGGAAAGTTCATCTGAACAATTATCATGAAAATAATTGTAAATTTAATTTTTTTAATATTTATAAATATAGACCTAGAGAATCTACATTACGACGGGGAAAAAGTGACTGACGCCATGATGCCAGCTAGAAGGATTCTTTGGAATGGATAAATTTTCAGGGCTTTCAGTTCAGTCGGGATGGTTTAGCGATTGTCTAAGCATAGCTTAGATGTGGCACAAAACCGAAAGTGGGGGAACACCCAATGAGGATCGACCACACTACTCATTCGTAATTGATCTGGCAAACTTGTTAACCCTTACAACACGCCGAAGTGTCCACATGGCTGGTAAAATCGCTTATACTTCGATGGTGATACAGTAATACATTTAAAAGATTTGCTTTTATTCCCAATTTTCCACAAACATTTGGCGTACGGCCGTATCACGTTGAAACACCGGTTCTCGTACGATCACCGAAGTTAAGCAACATCGAGCCTGGTCAGTACTTATATAAGTAACCGCTTGGGAATACCAGGTGCTGTAAGCTTGGACGCGTATGTGATGTAATGGATAATGGAATTGGAAACTCGAGAGCCGAGTTTCAATTCTCAGTTAGGTGCCAATACTCTTGGAAAAGGCATGAATCCAACGTTTCCGCCGCAACAGCTATGGGTTCATTAGTTGGACTTGCGTCGGTAAATCATTATTATCACCAAAAAACAATTCTTGCAATCTAAAAATAATTTCTGGCTTTAAATGATCCGCAAAAAAAGGTTGATAAGACGTAAAAAACAATCAAATCAATCCACGAACGTTTTGAGTGCCTGTTGTTGACAAACAAATTACAGTATCAAAAACGCTTTATTTTATAGCAAAAATTGATTGATTACACCAGCTGTATCTCCAGAGAAGACAGCATAGAAGAAGAAGAAGAAGAAGATCCTCATCATCAACAACAACAAAGACGTGGAGGAGGATGAGGAGGAGGACCTGCAAATCAAAGTAACAAAAGTATGGTAACATAAAACTACGGTTATTCTTATTGCGTTAGGGGCATTGGATATGATAAAGAAGGGTACCGAAAATCATGTGAGTACAGATCCTTATCACATCAGCATCTCAGAGTTACAAAAGATTACTTCGTGCGGAACAGAACATATCATTCGCAAAACCTTCTGCATCTAAACGAGAATTTTCAAATGTACATAGATAACTCTCCTATGGTGAATTTTTTACTAATACAGTACCCTTTTTACTAATTCGGGGTCCTTTTTACTAATACGGTACCCTTTTTGCTAATACGGTACCCTTTTTACTAATACGGTACCCTTTTTGCTAATACGGTACCCTTTTTACTAATACGGTGCTCTTTTTGCTAATACGGTACCCTTTTTACTAATACTGTCCTCTTTTTACTAATACGGTACCCTTTTTACTAATACCGTCCCCTTTTTACTAATACGGTACCCATTTTGCTAATACGGTCCCCTTTTTACTAATACCATCCCCTTTTTGCTAATACGGTACCCTTTTTACTAATACGGTCCCCTTTTTACTAATGCCGTCCCCTTTTTACTAATACGGTACCCTTTTTTACTAATACGGTACCCTATTTACTAATACGGTACCCTTTTTGCTAATACGGTACCCTTTTTACTAATACGGTCCCCTTTTTGGTAATACTGTCCCCTTTTTACTAATACGGTACCCTTTTTACTAATACCGTCCCCTTTTTACTAATACGGTACCCTTTTTACTAATACGGTCCCCTTTTTACTAATACCGTCTCCTTTTTACTAATACGGTACCCTTTTTGCTAATACGGTGCCCTCTTTACAATTACACCCCGGAGGGGACTTGGTAATTAGGTACTTATTATTCTCTGGCAAGGTGACGCTACACAATAATAATAATAATAATAATAAACACCAGTTAGTCTGGCACAGGGCAATTGGAGTGCAAGCGCACCCAAGGAACTCGAACACCTTAGACTATCGGAAAAGAGTGTTAGGTGTTGCGCTACGAGTATTATCTTAAAGGCATGAAGAAAAGAAAATTATGAAAGTGAAATATGAAAAGAAAAAAAAAGAAAAAAAAGATAAAAGTGTGCGTGGGAGGAGAAGAAGTAAAGTAAGAGAGAGATAAAAAGAGAAAGAAAGATCAAAAGAGGGGTGGAAAGAGAATAAGCTGAGTAATAGGGAGAGGAGAAAGAGAAAGAAAAGTAAATGTCGGGGTAGGAAGAGAAGAAGCAGAATAAACGGGAGTGAAAAAGAAAAAAAAGAAAAAAAGAAATGTAGGAATGGAAATAGTAGAAGCAAATTAAGGGGGAGAGAGAAAATAGAAAGAGTGAGAAAACAGAGCTAGAATGAGAGAGAAAAGAAGAGAGAGAATAGAGAGTACCTGAGAAAAAAAAAGAAAAGAAAGAACGAGACAAAGGAAGAAAAGAAAGACAGAAAGAAACAGAAAAGTAAGAAAAAAGAAAGAGTGAAAGACGGAACATGAAAGAGAGATTAAGAGAAAAGGAAAGAGAAAAAGAGAGAGAAAAAGATAGAGTGAAACAAATGGCGAGAGAAAAAGAGAGAAAATTAAAAATAGCAAGAGAGAAAAAGTAAAATGCGAGGAGTCAAGAAAAGAGAAATAAAGAGGAAAGAATGAGAAAAATGCGACGAAGAAGAAGAAAGGTGAAGAAAAAGAAAGAAAGACAGAAAGCGAAATAGAGAGAGAAAAGGAGAGAAAAGAAAAGAGGTAGGAGTAGAGAGAAACGGGTTAAAGAAAGAGGAAGATCTATAAAAAAAAAAATGACAGCGATATAGAGAAAGAGAAATGAGAGCTAGAAAGAGTAACGTAAAGAGGGAGAAAAAGAAATCGAGAAACAGTGTGAAAGGGAGTGAGATAAAAAGATGCGGGAGAGAGAAAGAGGGAAACATAAGACGAAAGGGAAATAGAGAAAACGAGAGTAGAAGAGAAGGAGGTGAGAGTGATAAAAAAAAAATAAATGAATGATGAAAGAAAATATTAAAACGGGAAAGGCGAAAAAAAAAAATGGACGAAGAAGATCAAGCGAGATAGAAACATGGGACGAATGGAAAAGGAAGACATCATGACATTGAGTAAAGCGCAGCCTATATAAGAAATTTATAAGAAAACATGTGGCAAAAAAGAGGTGGGGGGAGAAAAGAAAAAAAACATATTTAAAAAGCTTATGGAATGTCTTCAAACGGAAGCACGAATGAAAAAAGAAAAAAAAAACAAGATGGCGGCGAAGGGATGACAGTGGTCTCGATAACGTTTACATAGGGAGAAAGATGAATAAAATCTGGCGTATAATTGAGCTGAGATTTTTATCAAATAGAGCCGAGACACACACACACACATTTACGCACACACACGGAGGAATTTTAAAATGTGAGCAAACTACAAGACGATTGTATAAACTGACATATTTGCGTGTAAACAAAATACATTATAAAAAATTTAAAACACGGGACCTGAACGCTTGAGGAATTTAAAAAGCACGCGTAAAACGAATGTAGTACGGCATTTTATTACTACTTTTTGTGAGCAGAAACAAAGAAAAGAGTACTGAAGTGTTATATAATGTCAGTCCTCTTATATGGCACTTTTGTTTGAGTTCAAGAATTGGCTTTCCAAAAGGATATGAGCAAAGTAAACCTGCTACAAATGGAAGATGTAATATGAAACTAACAATTAATAATAGTGTTTTGTCGAAGAAATTTGGACAGGTTAATCTGGGAAGTGTCTTAACGGGGGATGAAAAATATAACATCGAAATCCGAACAGGCATTGGAATAGCAAAAGATGCCTTCCAAAAGCTAAGCAAAGTATTACGAAACAGGAGATTTTGTCCGACACAAAGAAAAGAGTAAAAAGCTACTATGTCATATCAGTTCTCCTATATGGCAGGGAATGCTGGAAAATCTCCTCACAGAGGAAGAAGAGATTTGAAGCAACAGAAATGGGGGGGGTCTACAAAAGAATATTCTAGAGACAATGTAAAAAAAAAAGCGACCCTCATACTTACATAGAAACAGTTGAAATTTCTAAGGCCCATGGTGAGGAAAGAGGATTTGGAAAATAAGATACTCACACAGGACATATCGAAGGGACGGGGGGGGGGAACAACGCATAAGCTCTCTGGAGAAGTTGAGTGAATGGCTGACAGAGCAAGGTTCTGGGAGAGATAGCAAAAATAGAAATTTAATTAAGAACAAAGGACAGGAAATTGTGAAGAGCCATAATCGCCAAAAGCCTGAAGAGACACGGCATAAAGAAGAAAAAAGACCATTTATAAAGCATTTAAGGGCAAGATACGGAAGGAAATTGTAGAAAGGAGGAGCTGGCTTAAGTAATTATTCATAGTCAAATTACAGGAAACTGAGGCTGAGATTGCAAACACACATATACACACGCATACACACACATATACACACATACATACATATATGTGTATATGCAGAAGATGAATTATGGGCCATTAGATACGACGGTACGTTTGTTGTGCATGTCAGAGTTGAGCATCTGGCTATGATAGATTCATAGCCGCCTAGTGATCTTGCGAAAAGTCGCGATTTAAAATGGTGGCTTCCAAAGCAGAAGAACTTCCGATCTATCTTAACCTGTTCAAATATCTATCTATCTATCTATCTCATCTATCTATCTATCTATCTATCTATCTATCTATCTATCTCAGTACATCTATCTATCTATCTATCTCCATCATCTATTCATATCTATCTATCTATCTATTTATCTATCTATCTATCTATCCAGTACATATTCATTCACATTCATCTATCATATCTATCTATCTCAGTACATATCTATCTATCTATCTATCTATCTCATCTATCTCAGTTCATATTCATCTATCATTCATCTATTTATCTATCTATCTCAGTTCATACCCATCTATCTATCTATCAGTTCATCTATCTATCTATCAGTTCATCTATCTATCATTATCTATCTATCTATTCAGTTCATATCTATCTATCTATCTATCTATCTATCTCAGTTCATACCTATCTATCTATCATCCATCTATTCATTATCTATCTATCTATCATATCTATTTTTATCTGTCAGTTCATCTATCTATCTATCTATCTATCTAT